TACTGAGACGATGATTATTGTGGAGCAGGAATAACGCTTATATGAGAGAGAGAGAGAGAGAGAGAGAGAGAGTATGCAGTACTATTACAACAACACACAGGTTATTACCGGATTACCAAGGTGAGGGAAGTGAGAGAAGACGGAGAGGAGGGGAGGCAAGAGAGAGGGGACTATTTCTCTTGGTTGTGTGGTTAGTACTGCTGTCTTACCCGTATGGACTAATGACTGACTGAATGGCTGACTGACTGGTTACCTGACTCCCTGGCTAACTCCTTGACTGACTGACTCCCTGGCTGCCTCGCTGATTCCTCGACTCACTGACTACCTCACTGATTCCCTGGCTACCTGACTGAGTGACCACCTCACTAATTCCTTGACTGACTGCCTCCTTGGCTGACTAGCTTGACTGGCTGCCTGGCTGTGTGTCGCGTGGGGTCAGGCAGCGAGCGAGGGTCGATACCATGGACTGAGTCTGATGGGTGTGGCGTGCTCACCTGCCGAGGGGTAATTCACCTGGTCTGGCGGGCCATTGTGGAGGGAGGGGGGGAGGGGTGGCCTACCTGTTCGGGCCAGCTTCCTGCTTGATGTAGTGGCCCTGACTCATTGTTTCAGGGTATGAGGTTAGGTTAGGTTAGATCAGATCAGATGAGGTTAGATTAGGTGATGTTAAATTAGATTTAGTAAGGTTATATCCTTTTTTTATATCTTTTATTTTCTTATTTTTATTTATTTACTTATTTTTTTATTTTTACTTTTACTTACTTTTTTTTATTCTTTAATTCCCTTTCATTCTTTGTTCGTTACTCTCTCTGTGTCAACTTGGTATTGCATACTTGTGAGATGGGGAAGGTTAGGGGTGGCGGAGCGACTGAGAGAGGGAAACTGGTTTATGTCTGAGGGGAGGGGTGGGGGGTGTTAGTTTTTTTAGTTTAACAAATTTATTGGCAGAGCTTGTAGTACAGTTTGCCTATTCTGAGTAATTCAGTCAGGTCTTGACACTGAGGGTGGTATCACTTCTCACTGCCACGCAGGACAGAGGTTCATACACAAAGAAATACATCATATTCATTAACAGCTATAAATGTATAGAGGTCAGATTCATATGGGTAATGTCACTGTTCACTGCCATGCAGGACAGAGGTTCGTACACAAAGAGATGCATCATATTCATTGACAGTACATATACATATATATACACACACACACATACACATATACATACATATACACATATACATACACATATACATGTGTGTTAAAGAATGTAGGGCCTCACACACCAAGGGGAGACTGAGGAGGTGGAAAACTGTGGAATAGGGATAACTGAGGTGATAGGGTTATGTTGTTTCTTATGGCTGACTGTATTACTGCCTACACCAAAGACACTTATAAAGGACAGTACTCTACTCCATACACAAGGGAATTGAGAACTAATGATAACGGTTCTTCGTATATTAACGACGTTACTCAAAATGAATAGTTATACTTTCAAAACAATAACCTATCTTCCTAGCTAGCTAACCAGGGGTCACATGAATCACAATACATTTCGTGAAACGGATAAAACCTAAAAGGTACTCACATTACATCCTGCCATGTGAGATGACACCGACACTTAACTCTCTCCATAACCAGACTGTCTTTTTCAAACTGTAGGTAATAGACAGCTACCAAACAGGGAGGTACTACCGCCTGGGAAGATATTGGAAACATGATGTATTGTCTAATGGTTGACCCTGCTGCCATATGGCATCACGAAAATTGTGACCAAGTCCCAGGTTGGTGATCTGACGTTCTGCCTCATTTACACACAATTGCAGGGTCTTAATTGTTTCTCTTACCATTGACAACACAACATACATACAGTATATTGTTTCTCACTCTTTTTTTTTTCTTTATGGTTCTTTATTATTATTATCATTTTATTATTATTATTATTATTATTATTATTATTATTATTATTATTATTATTATTATTATTATTATTCCTACTACAGTACTACTACATTCCTCCCAGGTCCGATGTGGGTCAGTGACCTGTGCCCGGGTGGGCTAATCCCCATAAAAAAATAACTTTTACGCCCTTAACTCATGAGTCATAAAGGCAAGCATGAACTTAGCATGCTTCCCTGTTGGGCACTGTAAACGCTTCTGCGCTTCACCTTACACAAGGATGTAGGGGAGTGCCCAATAAAAAAAATAATAATAATAAATTAATAAATAATGCGTCGCCCACAGGTTCTCTTATTGGTTCAGGCCTATGGTATTCACCCTCACAAATCACTGCGATTGGCTCACGCTCGGCGGGAAACACTCATGACATTGTTACAAGGTTAGGTTAGGTTATGTTAGGTTAGGTTAGAGACATCTTACTTCAGTTAAGGGACAAACAATGCCTCTTATACCCCATAACTGTTAAAGGGAGGGTGGGAGAGGGAGGGAGAGAGGAAGGGTGAAGGAAGGAGAGGGGAAGGGTGTGGAGACTTGACACGAGTGACTGATAACAAACACTCTCTTATCAGCATCTTATCTCAACACAGCTATGATATATAGACCTGATGTTTTATATGAGGGTCGTTTGGGTGGTTAGTTGGGCCCCAATGGTAGCAGAACCTGTCCTAATGGGCCCCAGTGATAGTAGAGTCTCTTCTAATGGGGCCCAGTTATAGCAGAGTCTGTTCTAATGGGCCCCATTGATAGTAGAGTCTGTTCTAATGGGGCCCATTGATAGTAGAGTCTGTTCTAATGGGCCCAGTAATAGCAGAGTCTGTTCTAATGGGCCCCAGTAATAGCCGAGTCTGTTCTAATGGGCCCCAGTGATAGCAGAGTCTGTTCTAATGGGCCCCAGTAATAGCCGAGTCTGTTCTAATGGGCCCCAGTGATAGCAGAGTCTGTTCTAATGGGCCCCAGTAATAGCCGAGTCTGTTCTAATGGGCCCCAGTGATAGCAGAGTCTGTTCTAATGGGCCCCAGTGATAGCAGAGTCTGTTCTAATGGGCCCCAGTGATAGCAGAGTCTGTTCTAATGGGCCCCAGTGATAATAGACCTCTGTCTTATTAAACCCCAGTCCTATAAAGCTCCAGGCTGGGTCATGTTGGTTAATTTCACGTAAGAATGTGGTAGCTACGTTAATTTTACATTATATGAGTCTTTCTCTCCTTATTTAACTGTAATTCACTGTATTTGTTAAATTTATATCATGTTAACCTTACCTGCGAACTTGTTAACTTGCACTACGTTAACCATACCTGAGTATTCATTTAGGTGTATCGTGTTAATTAGCCACAGGTGGTTAATTACCAAACACCTGGGAGAAAGCAATTCAGCATTGACCTCACCGTGACAAGAATACAAAGTAGGAGTTGGCTAGGGAGCTGCTGCAGTAGGTGAGGGGAGACAGGGGGTGAGGGGAGATGGGGGGTGAGGGGGGCAGGGGGTGAGGGGAGATAGGGTGAGGGAGACAGGGGGTGAGGGGGAAGGGGTGAGGGGAGACAGATGGGTGAAGTGAGCTAGGGGTGAGGGGGGAGGTAAGATGGTCAGTTGAAGAAGGTAGGAATCGATCACTCCCACACACTCTCTCGCTCTCTCTCTCCATCCAAAATACACACACACACACACACACACACACACACACACACACACACACACACACACACACACACCAGTATTACAAGTTCTTCTCTTCATATCCGTCTTAAGAGTCATGTTGGTTAATATGTCGTGAAGGATTGTACACAGACAGCCAAACAGACTCACACAGACATACACAGACAGGTAGGGAGGCAGACACTAAGATAAACAGACAGACAGACAGACACTTAGACATACACAGACAGGTAGGGAGGCAGACACTAAGATAAACAGACAGACAGACACAGACAGAGGGTCAGAGGTCAGGGGGGTCTAACGATTGAGAGAAGGGGAGGGAGGGAGAGAGAGGGAAGGAGGGAGTAAGAGAGGGAGGAAGGAGTGAGGAGAGAGGGGAAGGAGGGGTGGGGGAGAGGGAGTGAGGAGAGAGGGAGGTGGAGTGTGGAGAGAGGAAGGAGGGTGTGAGGAGAGAGAGGGAGGCTGGGGGTGAGGAGAGTGGGGGAGGCGTGATGGGAAAGCGGAAGGAGAGAGAGAGAGAGACTAACACACATCTCTCAACTGTTGAAGTAGCCCTGAAAGCAATATACTACAGTACACACACGCACACAGGACGATGATTGGTGACTGTATCTATGAGGGGGTAACTGGCGGTGACCGTTGTACCCCAGGGTGACCTTTGTACCCCAGGGTGACCGTTGTACCCCAGGGTGACCGTTGTACCCCAGGGTGACTATTTGTACCCCTGGGTGACCGTTGTACCCCAGAGTGACCGTTGTACCTAGGCAGGACCGAAGGACTAGCCAGGGGCGCGGGGGTGGAGGAGACCCGGCTGTTTCAAGGCTGCCGCCACTGTCTGCTCACAACACACACCTTCGCCCAGTTTATGTCACTCAAAACACTCATGGGAAGACTCTAACTCGTCAGTCATCGTCATGTTGTGTCTGGCTGTGTTGAGAGTACTGTGAGGACGGAGGCTGGTGATGACAGTCCATGTGTGGTGGGTGTTGTGGGTGCTCGTGCGTCTGGCAGCGTGGGGCACGATTTACCCTCCCCCCTTCCCCTGTTCGTGACACAGGCTGGATATGGTAGAGGGAATGAGTCGATTTTTTAGCTTTTATTGGCAATGACAGCTATGTCTGTGGCAGTGTAGCTGTGGTGGGGCGTGTCCAGTGTATGGGGGAAGTATTTTAGCTGTGGTGGGAGGCTGAGGTGACCCGGTGGCAATTGTTGAAGGTAAGGGAGGAGGAGGTAGCGACGAGTGGGTGTGTGGGCCCAAGGAACCGGTGGTGGGGTGTGGAAGGCGAGCCCTCACCAGGCACAGTGTGACCCCGCCAGTGTTGACGATCGCACGCCAGCTGCCGTGCCAACCCGCCACACGCGGACTACACCTCTCATGAACTTACTCCTGGACAGTGATGGCTGACAAGAGTCCAGGAAAGCCGCCACCCTCCGGGGGCGGAGACGACCGTGGTCGTCCTGACAAACACAAGCGGTCGCTGCTCAACAGGGTGTCCTTCTTCGAGCAGGTTTGGTGGGGACGAAACAGGTCTCCTTCTCTAGAAAGGAAAGGGTCACCCATAGCAGAGCGCGGCAGATCCCCGTCTTTAGAGCGAGGTGAGGAAGTGTTCGCTGATGAGATGGAGGAAGGTCCCGGGAAGGAGAAGAGGAGGCGCCGGGAGAGTACCAGCCCGGGCAGGGAGACGCCCCTCGACCAGCGCCGCTCCTCCGCCAAGAGTGATGAAGACTGGGAGTTGGTGGAGCCGGAGGACGAGGCCACGTCCACCTTGGCTGAAGACATTGAGCGTCGTCTTGAGGAGAGACGAAGAATGAGATCAGGCAGTATGACACCGACCCGCGAGTGGGTACAACTACGACGAGGCAGCGACGACCAAAAGGTGCCTGATGAACGCAGGGGGTCCACCCCGGAGCCCTGGGAGTCAACCTACTCCACCAAGGAAGGTTCTCTGGCCGAGGAGATCGAACGTCGGCTGGAACACCACCGTCAGGAGGTGCGGCAGAAGTTGGTGTCCCCCGTGAAGGACTGGCCACTGCTGCGACGCTCCCCCGCTCAAAGGTCCAGCCGCGGCACCACACCAGAGAGAGAGACGCCAGACCTTGGCGCCAGCTTCACCAGCAGGAGCCGCACCACCAGCGGTGACCGTAGGAGGAGCCGGGAGAGAAGCGCCTCCCCTGGTCGCCACACTCTGGTGAGGGAAGTGGTGGCAAACGCCGAGCGTCGAGGTGGTGAGGCCACTGCCGTCACCACCACCACACACACGGCCACAGTGTGGACAAGTGAAGATGGTGAACCTCACGTAGAAACACACTCCACTACTGACAACCTTCAGGAGGAAGACCCGAACAGTGAAGGGCGTGACGTGTTCCAGCGTGTAGAGGAGGAGGAGCATGAGAGCGTTGAGCGTGGTGAACGCAAGAGATATAACCGGGTGGTGGTTCGACGCAGCGTGGAGAGGACCATCACCACCACGCCCTCCCCGGAGCCCATGGAGCAGGAGCAGCTGTCACCACGACTGTCCAGCCCCACATTAGACCCCGCACCTCAGGCCCGCACCACCCGCAGTAGAACACCTTCAGGACCAAAGTCACGTCTACGCTCACGGACTCCGTCAGTGGAGCGCATCCTGGAGGTGGAGGAAGAAGAAACGACGGCTGTGTTCCTCACCTCTTCCACCGACCCTCGCGTCCTGGACGATGAGAAGCGTTCAGATACAGACACTGGCAGCGCCTCCCCAGAACACGGCGCAGACAAGCTCCAGAGCTCAGACGAGAGCGCCAGAGAATCCGGCAGGGATTCCAAGAGCCCTGAAGACCACCTGACGATGGAGACGGTGAGCACGGTGCAGTGGGAGGGCGGCGCCAAGGGCGAGGTTCAGAAGCACAGCACCAGAGTGTTGATCCGCGACCGTGATCCTTCCTACACCAAGTACGTCATCACCTCCCGCACCACCTCCCGCGACTCACTCTTCTCGAGCCCCAGCAGCGAGGATGCCCCCAGCTGGGACGGCAGCGCTCCCGCCTGGGCGTCGCGCACCACCCTCCAGGAAGAAGACGAGGAGGACCACGCCCCCAGCAAGTTCCGCCTACGGTCTCACCAGTACCAGGAACACATCTCTACCCTGAAAGGTGAGCGCGGGGCGGGGCACACATAACACTGATGACACAACATTTGGTCGCAATACTCAGTAAACAAACCGCAGCTCCTGACCATCGTAAAAGAGCAGCCCAGAAATCCGTCGCTTTAACTCAATAATCTCACTAACCTCTCGTCTAAAACTCGAAAAGTTAATACTCATATACCTCAAACTCCTTCTCCCGGGGCCCTTTATAAGTCATGGTATCATATGGCATCAGCTCCCATGCCCTCTCACCCCCCGGGCATCACCTTAACCTGTGGTCCCGTTCAAGGAAATGATAGAGTGTTATTATTTTAATCAGACCTCTGGCGTGACGGGGGATTACAGGACCTTTGGGTTCTGGCAACACTGATGTGAACCACTGCAGTAGAAGTCTTTTCCCTATTAGGTATTTATTTTATTATTGTTGTCTATTACCTATTTGGCATTGTTATTTAAGGTCTTCCCGATTATATCATTACTAGTTCGATTATATTAACCTTATGTGTATGATAATAAACCTCCGTGAGTACAGGTGGTATCGTACTCGAGGGAATTAATTGTTCGTCGTACTCAAATGAACCCAAACAAGACATTTAAACTCCAAATTATGTTATTCTCAAATCCTATTCCCACCAATGACAGCATTTTTTTCACCCAATTATACTAGGGATTCCAACCCAATTTTGGTCCATCCCGATTCAGGCGTTTAAACGATTAGCCTCATCCCTATTAGGAGACGGAACACTATAGACAGAGTCAATTAGTACCGCGTCGTTGCCTCCCCTCCCCTCATTACCCCTCCCCTCTCCCCCCCTTCCCCGCGTCCTCCCGGCGGCTTGGGGTCAGCGGGCAAGGACGTTGTTTCACTGCTACCGACTGTGTTGTTCTGCTGTAGGCGACTCTCTCGGCTCCCTGTCAATTGCTGTGTTGTTTACCTGTGAGTTCTCTCTCTCTCTCTCTCTCTCTCTCTCTCTCTCTCTCTCTCTCTCTCTCTCAAAGACCTACTGTAGTACATACATGCCTGAGAGCACCTGAAGATTACGCACCCTAGTTTATTTCACCTAAAGATTCAACACCCGAATTCTGAGAAATTATACGTTGGATGATAGAGACGAAATTATATAACGTGGGATTATAGAGGTGAAATTATATTACGTGGGATAATAGATGTGAATTTATACGTATGGTTATAGATATGAAATTATACTACGTTGCATTATAGAGGTGAAATTATACTTCGTGGAATTATAGAGATGATATACGAGAGATAATTATGATATCAAAATAGTGATTAGACCGTAAAGGCTATAATTACTCTATAATGACTCCAGAGTACGTCAGTGATGCCAGATTAGCGAACAGACCTTTGCATAGTCGTATAATTAGTCTCATTGTCGTTGAGTTTATCAGTGATTCCAGATGAGAGGGTAGACCTTAAATGGTATAATTACTCTTGGGTTAGATTAATTTAGGGTTAAGTTACATTATAGAATAATTATGTAAGGTTGGCATTAGGTTAAGTTTGGTTAAGTTAGCTTAGGTTAGGCTATGTTAGTTTGCATTAGGTTAAATTTTATGTTAGGATATGTTAGGTTAAAATATGTAAGGTTAGTGTTAGGTTTAAGTTAGGTTAGTTTTAGTTAGCGTTAGGTTAGGTTACATTTGGGTAGACTATGGTAGTTTTGGTTAGCATTGGGTTAGGTTAGGCTATGTTAGTTTTGGTTAGCATTGGGTTAGGTTAGGTTAGGCTATGTTAGTTTTGGTTAGCATTGGGTTAGGTTAGGCTAGGCTATGTTAATTTTGGTTAGCATTGGGTTAGGTTAGGCTAGGCTATGTTAGTTTTGGTTAGCATTGGGTTAGGTTAGGCTAGGCTATGTTAGTTTTGGTTAGCATTTGGGTGTTTTAATCATCAGGTGAAATAAGTTGGTGGTGTTTGATCTTCAGGTGAGACGCAGAAGGGGAATGTGGTTTTATGTTTTAGGTCATCGCCCCGTCTCACTCATGCACCTCACAACACAAAAACTGGCCTGACCTCTCCTCTTCCTCTTCTTTCTTCTTCTACTCTCCTCTTCCTTCTCCCCCCCTTCTTCCTAGGCCTAATCTCTCTTCTCCCTGGTCTGATCTAACCTCCTGCTGTCCCTCCTCTTCCTTCCTTCTTTCTCTTCCTTCCTTCTTTTCCTTCCTTCCTTCCTTCCTCCTCTTCTTCCCTACCTCTTCTTCCTCCCTGATCTAACCTCTCTCTCCTCCTCCTGACCTAACCCCTCCTCCTCCCTGACATAACCTCTCCTCGTCCCTGACCCATCCCTCCTCCTCCTGACCCTCTCCTCCCCTGACCCATCCCTCCTCCTCCCTGACATAACCTCTCCTCCTCCCTGACCCATCCCCTCCTTCCCTGACAACCTCTCCTCCTCCCTGACCCATCCCTCCTCCTCCCTGACTCCTCCTCCTGACCCATCCCTCCTCCTCCCTAACATAACCTCTCCTCCTCCCTGACCCATCCCCTCCTCCTCCCTGACATAACCTCTCCTCCTCCCTGACCCATCACCTCCTCCCTGACATAACCTCTCCTCCTCCTCCTTCACCCTCTCATCTCGCCCGTCGCCGCCCCACACTCCACAGTCTTCACATCACGCCATCTCATAACGGGCAACTTGTCATGAACAGATAAAAAAAAAACGTAAAACCGCCCCTCTTTTGCATGGAGACAGGTGACGTGACCGCTAACTTGTGGTGAACTAACCGCAAACTGTCATGAAGTAACCGCTAACTTATCATGAAGTAACCGCTAATTTGTGGTGAAGTAACTGCTAACTTGTCAGGAAGTAACCGATAACTTGCGATGAAATAACTGCTAACTTGTGGTGAAATAAACGCAAAATTGTCAAGAATGAAATAACGCAAAATCCTTATGAAATAACTGCAAAATTTTCATTAAATAACCGCTAACTCGTGGTGAAACAAACTAGGGTGTCTAATATTCAGGTGAAATAAACTAGGCCTAAGTATCTTAAATCTTCAAGATATTCTACAGCAAGTAGTGAGAAACACACACAAATCCCGCCATCAATCACCCAACATAACCATTCGTGCCAAACCAATCAAACTCGACACCGTATTTATATATTTTTTGTGATGATTTTTTTTCCCGAGCGACAAGTGGAGGTTGTGGGTGTATGAGGGCAGACCGGGGTGCGGCAGATGACAGGGTGTTGCTGCTGAGATTTTGGTCATGGTGATGGATTGTGTTATTCTTATTATCGTTATTATTATTATGATTATTGTTGTTATTATTATTATTGTTATTATTATCGTTATTGTTGTTCTTGTTCTTGTTATTATCGTTATTATTATTATGATTATTGTTGTTATTATTATTATTGTTATTATTATCGTTATTGTTGTTCTTGTTCTTGTTATTATCGTTATTATTGTTGTTATTATTATCGCTATTATTATTATTGTCATTAGCGTTGTTATTGTTGTTATCATTATTATTATTGTTGTTATTATTAGTAATACAACTGTAACTTCGCATCCATACATCGTTTAACCAAGCCATATTGCCCACCTCTCCTGACCTAACTGGTGTATGTTTAAGGCATGGGAGGGGATGTCTTGAATCACCCTTGTCTGTCTGTTTAACTTTGGTTATAGAGGTGAGTGACGGAAGAACAATATGATGCCTGCCTGTCTATCTATCTATATCTAACTATCTATCTTCCTATCTATCTATCTTATTATATCTAACTTTCTATCTATCTATCTATCTATCCCAAAATAGACGGGTGAACATTGAAATATCCTCTCTCTCTCTCTCTCTCTCTCTCTCTCTCTCTCTCTCTCTCTCTCTCTCTCTCTCTCTCTCTCTCTCTCTCTCTCTCTCTCACCAGGTAGGTAGGCAGGTAAAGTGAGAGAGGATCATAGTCATTATAGCAGGAGGTGGGGCGAGTACTGTTGACACCCACCATGATAACACCTTTAAGATAACACCTTTGATATATCACCTCAGGATGATAACACATTAGGTTGATAACACCTTAGGGTCATAATAACACCTTTGATATAACACCTTAGGGTAACACCTGAGAACAGTGACAGACAAACTGACAGACAGATATCCATACACACAAATTGACAGATATACACATACAGACTGGCAGACAGATAAACGTACACATAGACACAGACATACGTGCAGACACAGACATACAGTTATACATACAAACAGTAACCCAGATAGACATAGACAGACACACAGACACAGGAAAACATACAGACAGACAGACAGGTAGGAGGGTAGGTGAGGGTCAGCCGGGGCACAGGTATGTTCAAGGTGTTGCCAGGCGCCCGACAATGTGTGGGCGGCGGGGTGGTGGTGGTGGGTGGGTGGACAGGGAGGGGTTAGGATGGGCGCCGGTGTGGTGGTGGGTGGGTAGAAGTGGGTAGAGGAGTGGGTAGAAGGGTGGGGTGAAGGGCTGAGGGTGGGCAGGATTTAGGGGAGGAGACTGGAGTGGTATAAGGTGGGCTAAAAGTGGGTGGAGCAAGATTCCGGGTGGGTAGTTTAGGGAAGGAAGGGGTGGGGTAGCGGGGGGTGGGTGGTTTTATAGGTTGGAAGAATGGAGGAGGGAGGAGGAGGGAGGTGTAGACAGAATGAGAGGAGGAGGAGGAGGAGGTGATTTTTGGGGGAGGGGAAGTCTGAAAGAAAAGGAAGAAGAGGAAGACATGGATAAGTAAAGATGGGGAGAAAAGAATTAAAGAACCAAGGAGAGAGAGAGAGATAATGGGAGTGGTGAAGGACAGAGAGAAAAAGACAGACAGACAGAGAGAGAGAGAGGAAGAAACACAGACGGTGGGTGAGACAGAGGAAGAGTGAGAGACGTAATGTGAAATGGACAAAGGAAGGAGAAACACACAGACATGTAGACAGACATAGAGAGAGAGAGAAATATAAATGGTTTAGAAGTGAAATAAGGGAGATGATGAGTAGAAGGAGAGAGAGTTATTATCGGTAATGTTTCAGTTTCTGTCTGGGATATTCCATAGTGCATTTCCTTGAACTGTTTTGAAGACGTGATAACTCTCTCTCTCTCTCTCTCTCTCTCAGAAACTACACACACACACACACACACACACACACACACACACACACACACACACACACACACACACACACGTCAGTAACTAGTATAGATACAAGTTTACATAATGTGGTCTGTGTTGTGTTATCTCCGTGGACTTACCGTGAGTAGAGTGGGGTGAGAGGGAGGGTGAGTAGAGTGGGGTGAGAGGGAGGGTGAGTAGAGTGGGGTGAGAGGGAGGGTGAGTAGAGTGGGGTGAGAGGGAGGGGACCAAAATATCGCTCTTGATTATTCACTTGTTTTGTTTGTGTTTTTTTATGTTTGTTTTTTGTTTTAATATGTTTGTGTGTTTGATTTTTATTGATTTTTGTTAATGTGGCTCAATAAACACACACACACACACACACACACACATAGCCAAGCCAAATCCTCCCCCTCCCCCACACGGGACACTACAGTACTGTACTTAGCATAATAGTGAGGGCGTCTTCCTAAATCCTCCTTAATCCTCTTAAATCTGTCCCTAATCCTCTTCTACATAATCCATATCCTTCCTATGATGATTTGTAAGGTGTGTGTGTGTTGACTCATTCATGTAGACATCTCAAATATCGGTCCTGGTGGTGACGTCACTCCTCACTGGCATGAATACCGTGCACGTGTACCCGAGTGGTGTACATGCTATCCCTGTGTGTGTGTGTGTGTGTGTGTGTTTGTTTCAGGCAGTGAGCATGCTTGTGTGTACGATTCACATCTTGAATACATACTGTAAGATATGAAAATAACGCAATAATTCATCTTCTGTATTCTAGACCACGTATGAAGGTGGTAAGTGTGCGTGACAGGAATAATAACAGATATTTAACATTTTTGGAACCGTGTTAGTTTGTTAAATCACAAAAACAGAATTTTTTTTCGGCAAGCGATCGGCAGAGACATCCCCTCCCCTCCTCCCTTGTAGCGACTCAGTTATCATATTCTCATTTAACTTATTATTTAATCTATATTATAACCCTCACAGCATTTTTAAATAAAACTTAATCTTGTGTTTTCGTTATTCATGTGTATATAAAATAGCTTTTATATTGGGATTTAGGAGTGGTAAATTAATTAAGTGTAATTTGTCGTAGTAACTGATTACGACGGGTGAAGGCCCGAGGCGGTATTGTCATGGCAGCCTATAACGAGAAATTCTTGTGAAATATTATGACAAATTTTCCAATTATACTATTTCCACACTATCCTGGCCCGTAAGCCACGCCCCTGTGTTTAGCTACAAATAGCTGATTGGTTCATAGAAAACCTTCGTGTAGCTGTCCATTTATTCAAACTAAATGTGTTTACAATGGACGAGGTGACGGTCGGAATTTTTTTTGTAAGATGGCTGGTCAATGGGTAAAAAAAAACCGCTTAAATTCACTTTGGTATATATATTTTCAAATAAATTGGACCAAAAAGTGTCAAAAATAAGGGTTAAAGTTGCTAAAAGGTTACGTGATTGCGAAAAGCTCTGTGATTGGTTGTGACGTCCCTGGTTGGGGCGAGCTTCCCAGCCGGAGACAGCCAGCTGTAGTTGTCCAACCTTCTTGGCTGATCGGCTTTGTAAATAAATATTATTAGATAATTAATTGTGCTTTACTGTGCAATTCAGTAATACTATTTTGAATATATAATTATTACTAAGCACATAAACTACAGGTAGTCCATTGGATATTAGCTGCCCATACAACAGTTTTCATAGTATAAACATTCGAAACAATATTGATATTATTTTGGTTTTAGTCATGTGTTTACCCAGAACCGTCAACTCGTCCATTGGTAAGCAGACAATTATTCTCCAAAATAATGTTAAATATTTGCCGAAGACAAAGATTAAATTCGCTTTCGAATGAAGTCTTTTCATTATTATTATTTTTGGTACCAAATATAAAGCAAACAGAAACAAATTATATTAAACATATAGCACAATAGGTAATGTACTACAGTTTGTATGGCTGGATATTATCACAAATCATTTATCTGCAATAACTGATAAAACTATATAAATTTGCGTAGTCCGGGGGGGGGGGGTAAAACGCTCAGGAAAACAGCCACTGGACTTTGCGGGAATTTTGCTCATCTCGAACATTTTATAATATAGAATATTCGAGACCAATGAGCTATTGGTAGCTATACACGAGGGGCGTGGCTGAGGGGTCAGGTTAACATGGAAATAATACTTTAGTGTGTTTACAGGGGGTCGTCAGGATTTGTGCACTATGTTTGTTTACAGTCGACAGAAAGAAACTCAAAATAGTAAACATATTATGGAATTGAATTATAACAAATAACTCGATGATAATAATGTGTGGAATGTTCATATCACGAGCCCCTGTAAACGCACTGTAGTGAAGGGGACTGTACATAGTTCCCATATATCTGAACTCCACCTTGAGCAGTTAGTAAGTCGATGTGATTCTCCGCCATAGTACAGTATAACTCAGAATGAACTGTCAGGCGACTCATTCAAGGAAGTATGGTCCTGAGAACGAGTACATTGATTATGGGGATTAACTCTTTATTTTATTTTATTTTATTTTATTAATAGTAGTAGTACAGGTAGTAGTAGTATTAAATAAGGTAGTCGAACCAGTTCTATAGTCTGAATTTGTAGCAAATTTGTTGCTTAACGTACATACTGTAGGTAGGTAAGCCTTGCTCTCTCAGGGACACAGGACAATGAGTGACACTGTTACCGGTCTGTTTTTTATTAATTCGAAATAAAAAAAATAGTATGTGAACACGTCACTGAGCCTCCTCACCGGACGACTCCTCGTCACTTTCCTGTCAACGGTGTCGACGGTGTCGTCGTTTATGAGGGGGAAGATGGTCGTCCTCTTCACTGGACAACTCATCGTCACTTTCTTGTCGACGATGACGTCGTTTATGCGGGGGGAGATGGTCGTCCTCCTCCATCCACGAGTTAGGTCGTTTAGGAGGGGGAAGATGGTCGTCCTCCTCCATCCATGACTTAAGTCGTTTAGGAGTGGGAAGATGGTCGTCCTCCTCATTGGACGACTCGTTACTTTCTTGCCGACGATTACGTCGTTTATGAGCGGGAAGATGGTCATCTTCCTCCATCCACGAGTTAGGTCGTTTAGGAGGGGGAAGATGGTCGTCCTCCTCCATCCACGAGTTAGGTCGTTTAGGAGGGGGAAGATGGTCGTCCTCCTCCATCCATGACTTAAGTCGTTTAGGAGTGGGAAGATGGTCGTCCTCCTCATTGGACGACTCGTTACTTTCTTGCCGACGATTACGTCGTTTATGAGCGGGAAGATGGTCGTCTTCCTCCTCACTGCACGACTCCCATTCAGTTTCCTGTGGAATAGGTCGTTTCTGAGGAGGATGGTGAGCTGTCTTCACCTCACTGCACCAACAGTCGTCAGTCTCCTGTGGAATAGGGCACCAATAGTCGTCAGTCTCCTGTGGAATAGGGCACCAATAGTCGTCAGTCTCCTGTGGAATAGGTTGTTTCTGGGGGGAAAGGTGAGCTGTCTTCACCTTACTGCACCAATAGTCGTCAGTCTCCTGTGGAATAGTCGTCACCCTGTGGAACAATAGTCGTCAGTCTCCTGTGGAATAGGGCACCAATAGTCGTCAGTCTCCTGTGGAATAGGGCACCAATAGTCGTCAGTCTCCTGTGGAATAGGTTGTTTCTGCGGGGAAAGGTGAGCTGTCTTCACCTTACTGCACCAATAGTCGTCAGTCTCCTGTGGAATAGGTTGTTTCTGCGGGGAAAGGTGAGCTGTCTTCACCTTACTGCACCAATAGTCGTCAGTCTCCTGTGGAATAGGTTGTTTCACTGTCGTCAGTCTCCTGTGAATAGAAAGGTGAGCTGTCTTCACCTTACTGTCGGCTCCTGTGAATAGGTTGTTTCTGCTGTCTTCACCTTACTGCACCAATAGTCGTCAGTCTCCTGTGGAATAGGTTGTTTCTGCGGGGGAAGGTGAGCTGTCTTCACCTTACTGCACCAATAGTCGTCAGTCTCCTGTGGAATAGGTTGTTTCTGCGGGGGAAGGTGAGCTGTCTTCACCTTACTGCACCAATAGTCGTCAGTCTCCTGTGGAATAGGTTGTTTCTGCGGGGAAAGGTGAGCTGTCTTCACCTTACTGCACCAATAGTCGTCAGTCTCCTGTGGAATAGGTTGCTTGCGTAAAGGTGAGCTGTCTTCACCTTACTGCACCAATAGTCGTCAGTCTCCTGTGGAATAGGTTGTTTCTGCGGGGGAAGGTGAGCTGTCTTCACCTTACTGCACCAATAGTCGTCAGTCTCCTGTGGAATAGGTTGTTTCTGCGGGGAAAGGTGAGCTGTCTTCACCTTACTGCACCAATAGTCGTCAGTCTCCTGTGGAATAGGTTGTTTCTGCGGGGAAAGGTGAGCTGTCTTCACCTTACTGCACCAATAGTCGTCAGTCTCCTGTGGAATAGGTTGTTTCTGAGGGTGTAGACGACTGCTCCCGACATCCTTCCCATGTAAAGGTGTCATAGGAGACTTTTGGGGAAGGTGTTGTGGTTGAACATTCTTTTTCCGGTGATAGTGTGTTCGGAAATATGATTGCTCGTCTTGAAAGTAGTTTTGAAGATAGTAAGGTGTCACTATGCATACTTGAGGTTGATTATAATTTTCTTCGGTCTGTGCCATCTTATGATGGATATGGTTTTTATTCTAATGACTTGAATCTTTATGTGGAACGGAAACTTTCAGATGTTGTCCGTACACCATTCGTCCATTATTCTTGAGGGCTAACTTCTGGCACTTCTCATCCCGGTATTTGATTTGTGCATCTCCGCGGTGCCAGGTTTGATGACTATTAAATGGCATATAACAATCCACCATGCCGCCATGCTCATTAAAAATGCACTTGATATCCTCATACGTGCAATCAACTGAGATGTTTTGAACGTAAACCTCAAATACGTCATATTCAGAACATCGTCTTGAGCGGGCTTCTGCCATCTTTAAACTTGGTTCATTAAGTGGTCACCCTGCAAGGAGGCTGATGGATCCGCCTCAGTGTGGAAATGTAGGAAGAGGTACGCGCTTATTACTCTACTTGTCGTGAAACCGAGTTGCAGCGAACATAATTATAGTACTACAGGTATTGTACTACATGAATTACTGTACTAGTGTTGTAGTAAACATATAGTACTAGTGGTGTAGTAAACATGTAGTACTAGTGTTATAATGAACATGTAGTACTAGCGTTATAATGAACATGTAGTACTAGTGTTATAATGAACATGTAGTACTAGTGTTATAATGAACATGTAGTACTAGTGTTATAATGAACATGTAGTACTAGTGTTATAATGAACATGTAGTACTAGTGTTGTAGTGAACATGTAGTACTAGTGTTATAATGAACATGTAGTACTAGTGTTATAATGAACATGTAGTACTAGTGTTATAATGAACATGTAGTACTAGTGTTGTAGTGAACATGTCGTACGAGTGTTGTAGTGAACATGTCGTACGAGTGTTGTAGTGAACATGTAGTACGAGTGTTATAATGAACATGTAGTACGAGTGTTATAATGAACATGTAGTACGAGTGTTGTAGTGACCATGTAGTACGAGTGTTATAATGAACATGTAGTACCATTGTTGTAGTGAACATGTAGTACGAGTGTTGTAGTGAACATGTAGTACGAGTGTTATAATGAACATGTAGTACCATTGTTGTAGTGAACATGTAGTACTAGTGTTATAATGAACATGTAGTACCATTGTTGTAGTGAACATGTAGTACCAGTGTTATAATGAACATGTAGTACCATTGTTGTAGTGAACATGTAGTACCAGTGTTATAATGAACATGTAGTACCATTGGTGTAGTGAACATGTAGTACTAGTGTTGTAGTGAACATGTAGTACCATTGGTGTAGTGAACATGTAGTACGAGTGTTGTAGTGAACATGTAGTACCAGTGTTATAATGAACATGTAGTACCATTGTTGTAGTGAACATGTAGTACTAGTGTTGTAGTGAACATGTAGTACCATTGGTGTAGTGAACATGTAGTACGAGTGTTGTAGTGAACATGTAGTACCATTGGTGTAGTGAACATGTAGTACGAGTGTTGTAGTGAACATGTCGTACGAGTGTTGTAGTGAACATTTAGTACGAGTGTTGTAGTGAACATGTAGTGAGGACATTAGTACGTATTAGTCATAAGATATATTGATTCATATTTCGCTCAGTACTCAAAACGTTTATAATTTCTATTTTAATTCACCCATAAAAACATACAGAGATAACAAGTAGAATGTAACGTGAATTACTACTGAGTCCGCAGGTATAATATTAAGATGTGTATTACAACACGCGCATACACACTACTACTTTCCTGTCACTCGGAATCGAATATGACGATCATCCAGCTATGATAAAATAATATGAGTTATTATAGATGTCACCTTCGTTGGTGAGCTCTGATGTGACTAGAGAGGCTGATACGGGACTGGTAGTGTTGTTCACTGATGTTACACATGTGGGGGGCTACATCTACTGCGGGAGGGGCGGCGGCAGCATCTATCCGGCGTTGGCGTTTGACTGCCTAGTTTTGCAGTCGTGCTAACTCGAAAGTATTGACACCTCGTGTGGTCCAGCCAGCTAAATGCGAGATCCAGGAATTAATTACATAGCTCTGAGTCATTTGTTGAGTGTTGACAGGGATAAAGACAGCCTATAATTTACAGTAGATTTGAATGGGTTCTAATGCTTTGACTGTTAAGGTTCAATTCTATATGCTATTAGAAATCTATTTAACGGACTATAGGCAGCAGTGACACGAACCAACTTTACCCGAGCAGCTCACCGTAGACCACAACAGACGTGAGGCTCAATACAACACAGATGATGAACCAAAACACCAAGATACTGTACTGTGATATATGACCCACTCTCACCCTCACTTGATTATTATACACCCTTATGCTTCCTGTGAGGGGGAGGGGGGTTAGGTTAGGTTAGTGTTAGGGTGGTTAATCTTAGGTGAAATTCACTGGTGGAGTTAATCTGAAGGTGGTCTGAATATTGTCCTTCTCCCCCACTACTTAGTCGTAGGTTGGGGAATGGGTCATTACACTCTTCTTTCTCCCCCCAACCATCACCACTCTCCTCCTCTCCTCTTTCACCCATCATCCCAGTCTCTCCCCTACCATCCCCCTCAAACACCCCCCTTCCCACCCCTTCCCACCCCTTCACTCTCCCATCATCCCTCCTCTCTCTTCCCACCATCCCTTCACTCCCCCTATCCCCCCTCTCACCCATCATCCGCCCTCATTTCCCCTACCTTACCCCCTCATTCCCCCACCATACCCCCTCATTCCCCCACCATACCCCTCATTCCCCACCATACCCCTCATTCCCCACCATGGCACGTGACTAAGTGTAGAGAGGGTGGAGGGTGAGTGACCGTCTTTGTGTGGCCGGGTAAATGCCTCTAGTGTGGTGTTGGTGTGTTGATGTGAATATTATAGTGGAATGTATTGATTCACCTGTGTGTGTGTGCGCGCGCCTCGGTCCAGGGAGGAGTTCCTGAGTAGTGAAGTGAATGTCGTGTGTATGTGGGTGGGTGAGATGTATGGGGTAAAGAGGATGAGAGGGTTAGGTGGGTGTGTGGATGAGTGGGGGTGGACGGCAGTGTGGGGAGTGAAGAGACAGAGAGAGGGATGAAGTGAGGGTGGGCGGGTGGGTGGGTAAGGAGATAGAGGGCGGGGGGGGTGGTAGGTGAGCAGGTGGGTGGGTAAGGAGATAAGGGCGGGGGGGGATGAAGTGAGGGTGGGCGGGTGGGTGGGTAAGGAGATAGAGGGCGGGGGGGGGGGATGAAGTGGAATGTGTTTGGGTTTCTTGAACATGAATCCACTACACATAGTATAAGCCCCACACTATCATAAATCTATCTTGTCTACATATTGTGTATTTGATTTAAAATGTGCATGTAACTTGAGGTTATATATAAAGTATGTGTTTATATCTCTCGTGTGTGTGTAATAATAATAATAATAATAATAATAATAATAATAATAATAATTAACGGTTTATTGAAAGAGCTTGGCAGCCAGAAGGCTGAAAATATACAGTTACATATTTGGGGAATGGGTTACGAATTACAAATAATATACAAGTAACATAAGTGACACAAATAAGATATATAATAACTAGGTGTGTGTGTGTGTGTGTGTGTGTGTGTGTGTGTGTGTGTGTGTGTGTGTGTGTGTGTGTGTCAGTCGGTGCTTTATAACAAGATAATATTCTGTTACTTGTACACCAAAAGAGCATACATAATGAACTAAACTTTTTGTCATAATAAACTTTCATCACAATAAGTATAATGCGGCCAGTGACCTCTTTGCTTTCATCTGTAATTACTTCCTAGAGTGAAAAAAAAGAAAGAAAGAAAGAAAGATGAAAGAACTGGCAGAAGGCACCACCCCGCCATGTGTCAACCTGCCCTCATTCGCACTGTCCAAACACACCGACACACACCCAAGTGTTATTCTCAACTGGCGGAATTAAAAATAACGTTTTGGCAATGCATCTCATTTGCTATTTATATTATGTGTGTTTTTTCTTCTAATTTCGGGTTTGATTTGAGAGAAGGAAGGTATTAGTCATTTCGCGTTAGTGGGGTGTAATAGTAGTGTGGTGGTGGTGGGCGGTGACGGAGACCAGCTGGAGCCCAACGTTCACATTTTGTTTACATTCGTCACAGCTGATGTCTCTATCGTTGGTTTACGAAGCCTTGTGTCCCGCCCCACATAAGGAAATCCTATTGTCGATATTTTAGGTTAAATAATACTAGAGAAGAAGTTAACAGAATAATCATAACCTGGATTTAACTTTTTCTTTCCCAAAACACAAAGTGATTTTAGTCATAACTGTAATATTTATTCCACAGGACTTAAGTGTTGTGTTCATGAGATGTACAGCTGTCTGTCTCCTGGCTCTGGGTGACTAAGAAGAAAAGATAAATTAATTAGCTTGTGTCTTATTGGGTCAGATGATCTTAGCACCTTAATGGGTTCGTTCATCTTGACCCTTTGAGGACGATGGCCTAACCTTATGAGAAGTGAACTTTGTTTTAGTCCTGAGTTATATATAGCTTAAATTGGCGGCCTCAAAGAGTTATTGTTTATACTCGTCCTCAAAAGGTAATTGTTTATACTCGTCCTCGAAATGTTGTTGTTTATACTCGTCCTCAAAAGGTAATTGTTTACACTCGTCCTCGAAATGTTGTTGTTTATACTCGTCCTCAAAAGGTAATTGTTTACACTCGTCCTCGAAATGTTGTTGTTTATACTCGTCCTCAAAAGGTTATTGTTGTTTATACTCGCCCTCGAAAGGTTGTTGTTTAAACCCACGTCCTCAGAGGGTAATTTTTATGTTATACCTACTGTAAAAAGAAACATAAGTAAATAAATTATCTTGCTTGAACAATACGACATTCTGGTACATGATGTGGAATGCCAACTATAGCTCAC